AGAACAGCTGGTGACATAAGACAGTTGAACATTGTCTGTTTTTATTTTAATAAGGCAACAGTCTAAAGCCCGTTTTGTGTTTTTGATATATATTTAGCTTTAATAATGTTGAGCAGGAAAAACAAAGAAAAAGTTTGATTGACTAAATTTGCCAGTTTTGGCCCCTGCGGGGAAAAAAAATATGGACACCACTGCCATGTATGTTGTAACTTGTACTTTTCACAATTATGCACATTTTTGTGTTAATCAGTCTCAAAAACTAATAAAATCTGTTGACATTTGTATCAAAATGTGAAAAAAAAAATCAAAAGGAATTGTCACTTTTGCAAGGCAAAATATTTGTTTTGGTAAATAATGAGAACAAAAAGGCCGCAGCTGCAGGAGGGAGATATTCTACGATGCAACAGTGTGCATGATCAGATATGGACCAATTTGTCAAACTTATTCTGTCACTGCCTTATAATAGTGCTGTTAAATATTCACAATACCATGCATTTAATGAAAAAAAAAAAGAAAAAAAAAGGAACGTCCTGAAGACGAGAGACGCTGACGGAACAGCTGACGAAAGCCAAGTGATTGGAGGGGGAAAAAAACAAACAAAAAAATCCTCCAAAATCAAGTGAATGTCATGTGACCGCCAGCTGAATAACGACATTTGTTCAGAGAACGAAGACTGTTTATCTTCTTGACGTTTGTGGAGATTACAGCTCCGGCTCCATAAGTTTGGAGATTTGCTTCGAAACGCTAAAGACAAAAAAAAGCATTTTGTACTATTCAAAAACGACTGACACCTCTCCCCTCCCCGTCCCTGCCTGCAAACTCGTACACTGTACCTGTGTGTCAGTAAACTGTCTCGTCATCAGTTTGTATGATAACCTGTATAGCTTTGTTGTGAGGGAGCCTATTTTTAATTTTTTTTAATTTGGTGTAATATTAGACGAAAAAGCACATCAAGTGTGGTCATTATAGCAAGTGTAGTGTATAAAACTGTCCGTCTCTGGTCACAGCGCTATATAATCGCCGGCTGTAGTGAGGGAAGGTGTTTCGAGCTTTGGCATGAACTCAGTCAGTGCTTCATTACGTATAAACTACGAGGTACAGATACGTGCTTCTGTCTGTAAAGAAGAAACCCGTTCTCATATTGAATCAGTGTGTATTCCCTGAGGAGCTTCTTCTGGCATAACTACAGTTTTTTACTTCTCCCCCCCCCCCCCGCCCGTCTATTCTGATGTGCCGTTTGGATTGATTTTTGGGGTTTTTTTGTCTTAAATATTATCGTCTTTTTTTTGTATAAGAATCACTCACTGAGAGCAGCTGCCTGATGAGTTGAGGAATCGCGTTGGGCAGGAAGCAGGTGAGCCACCTGAAACAGCAGAAGTCATGTGTTTTTGTTTTTTTAGATGAAGCTTCAGACATCAAATGTAACTTCCAGAAAGAACCGAGTACAGATTACTTCTCATCCCTCTTCATTCTCGTCACCTCGCTCTCTCGCCTCTGGATGCTCCTAACTGTTTTTATTGGGTGAAACTCAGAAAACATCAGTGTACAGCCTGAGCGATCACCCATTTACAAAATAAAAATGGTTTCTGAATCCAATTTTCTCTTAGCCCGTTATTTGTATTTACGTTTTTTTTTTGTTTGTTTGTTTTTTTTACTTATAGATGTCAATAAATCTGAATTTTCGAGAATGATACTCATATTGGCAATACAAACTGATGTTTTTCAAGCATTCATAAGGTTTAGGATTTACTGAACAACTGCGGCTATGAAGAGAACTGCATCCAAGTGTTTTGATGGAAAGGTGAGTGGAAGAAAAAAGTGTGGTAGAAAATGGAGCACAGAGAGATGAAGTTGCCAATAACTTTGCAAATCAAATTGATTCAACACAAAATATGAACTTTTCAATAATAGTCAAAAGTGAAACATCATGCACGTTTCTGTTATCATGGTTTTAGAACAACAGACCAAAAATCACCTATATAAAGATGAGACTTTGTACGCATGCACCACATGTAATTATTCACATCTGTTTCTGCATGAGTTACTGCATCCATGCGGTGTGTCCTGGAGGAGTTCATAACCAGTGAGGTTATTTTAATAAGGGGGTTCTCACTTGCCTCCATTACTGGAAGGTCTCCTTCCCCTTGTACAATACCTTATCTTACGCTTGGATTTTAGGTCAGGCAAGTTGACAAATGGTTTCAGCATTCGTGTTAAGCTCGTCAGCAGAGGGAAGAATACAATATGCTAAAATTTGCTGATAGACGACTGCACTGACTCTGGATTTGATAAAATACACCGGACTGGCACAGAACACGGTTCCCCAGATCATCTTTGTGGACCTCTCCACTCTTCCTCCAGATTCTGGATGTCAGAATATAATGATTTCTTTCAAGTTTTGATCAATATTCTGATCATATGACCTCGTGGTCCGCCAGCTCCTTTACCAGCGTGGTTTATTCTTGCTATCCAGGCTGTTTGCTGGATAACTGGGACGTAACCAGTTCTACCCATAATTGTGTGCTATACTAACAAATCCATATTTTAAAAAAGAAAAACTATTTAAAGAGCCATTAAAAAGCTGGCTTATTGCTTTTTTCATTAGCTGTAAGCCATATATATCACAACTAACAAAAATGTTTGGGAAATATAACTACTGAATGCAATCAGTATGAATTTCCTTAAATAAATTCACTTCTGAATCCTTTTCTAATTGTTCTCGCCATTTTATTTTCTACTGTGGTATTGATGCAGTGACACGGGTTGGACAGCAGATGGCGGTGATGGCGTTTTATTCCCCCCCCCTCCAAATTTTTTCTTCCACGCGATAAACAGCCTGGATTACTTACTGGAATGTTACAAACCAAGCAGGTTGTCTTCCTCCTCAGAACTTATCAGAATGTTTTATTCGGAGAGAGAAAGAGAGAGAGAAGCTGGATCCATGTAACTCTTTGAAAATATGTTTGTGCAGGAACAAACTTGATACATCCAGGGTCAGATGTCAGAACTGTGTTCCAGTGGGGGCCTTGATATTTTCATGTGGCATTCCTTCCCTTCAGGATCTGTTGTGACATAACCTGTGTTGTGTCAACAAGCACACAGACACGACCTGGAATCCACTTTCAGCCACTCTTTTTTTAAAAAAATCTATTTACTCCACATAAAGTTTTATTTCCCCGTAGAGACCTGGATCCATTTTTTGCCCTCAACCTGTTAGAAATGAACCTGTCCTGGTAAATTTGGCATGTTGCTTTTGTTCTTTGCTTTCGCCAATGGACTAAAGCACTCATTGACTGATGTGCATTATTCCACTTTAAACAATCTCAAGATGATGGCGACTGATCAGAAGGCGCCATTGCGTCTTGATTTCTGGATTTCCTCACTCTGCTGCCAGTTCTGAACTGTGATGGAGAAACGAGCCCTGATGCTCTCAGACATTCTCTCAGCCAGTCAAGCCTACTGCTGGCACAGGAAGCAGGAAAGCCGACTTCAGAGTAAAGCAAGAGACAGGCTTTTACTGGAGAGACAAAAAAACCCACTAAATACACTCTTGTCCTTTGTTACCCAAACATGAACACCATAGATCCTTAGAAGGACTTAAAGTTAGCTAATAAATACATGAATACCATGGCATTTATCATTTTATCAGTTTAACAAAAAAAAAAGTTCCAAATGTAAAAGGTGCATCTCATAATCATGTTGGGTACAACGACACTAAAAAAATACCAGTTTCAATGTATTAATATGAAAAATTTGAGGAAACTAAAACTTGAGAAAAGTTGTTGAAGTTGTTCATAAGTTATTTAACAAAGCAACTTATGAACGATATCGATACTAAAATGAATAAATATCTGTTCGTTTTTTTCTTTCACATAAAACGTCTGCATTTTCACATTTTCTACTGAATAATGTTTGTTACACCTTAAAATCTGTAATACAGACACAACTCTAAAACATATTTGAGCTCTGTTTGTGAAGAAACTGTTACGGTTTGACTTTATCTTTTGTTCTTGAACATTCATATATTAATCTAATACTTAAAATGTTTCTCTGCAAATTTTAGGTGAGCAAAATATTGTAATTTTTATGTTAAATACTTAGTAAGTTGGAACCTGAAGTGTTTTTTTTTTCTTTTGTTGAACTAATATTCAAATAGAAAGCGGTAAGATTACCTGGCTGCATTTATCTTTTTTTTTTTTTTTTTTTGAGGGTTTTATGAGTTCATGTTTCAAAGTTAACATCAGCATGACAAAAGTCAACACAGAGTTGTCACGGGGACGTAATAGACACGGAAGCAAAAATGCTAGAGGTTTTATATATTCACGCAAATAATGACATGGTGAATTATGCAGAATTATGAGAACAAAGAAAAAAGTTTTCACGTTAGCTGCACCAACAAAAATTTTCCAGGAAGAGAAAAATGTTTTAAGAAAGTTGTGAAGGGAAGAAAACAGACACTTAAGTTGGATTTTTGTCCAACATGGACTGAAAACTAACACTTGTCCTGAATTCAGTTGAAACGCAGGCCAGGCTTCAAATTAAAAAAAGAAAGTGTTTTTATAATTTACTCATTTTACAGCTTTAGAATAGTCTGCATTACTCCATCCAAGATGTGTCAAACTCAGGTTTTTGGGTTAAATTGGAACCAAAAAGCAAAATATCTGTTCATAAAGGTGAAGGACAGACCTGCTGATTTTGTGTAGAGCAGATGTAGCTGGTTTTCAGTAAATACCAAGATTTGGCTGCAACTTTTTCCAAGTTTTTAATTTCAGTCCCGTAAGCCAACCCTGTAGCACAAACTGAAACCATAATAACAAGCATTGTTGCCATTTTTACACGTTCAGCCTCATGAATCAAGATTTTCCCCTTCAGATTAGTCCAGTTCCTGCTTCAACGTGAAGGCATTTTATTTTGAAAGCCCAACCCGGAACTCCCGCTTCCTCCCCTCTTCTAAATTGACGCGTGGCGGCAGGCTGGTGATTTGCTTACTTGAAGCAGGACCGAGTTTGGAGCGGGTACTGTGAAATGTGTAAGCATGATGTTGCCTGGATAACCAGCGGAGGACTTTAGGAAACGGAGGTAAGAAGAAGCTCCGGCACCTGACTTTTTATTCCCATCGAAAGTTCCCCTCCCACGTCAAATACTTTTTAGTGTCTTGCTCGTTTCACATACGCGTGTATGTTTTGAATATTTGCGTGAATTAAAACGAGTTTGGGCTCAGATTTACAGCGGATTCGCTCCAGTAGAGACGCGGACGTCGAGACAAGTTCTCCCTCTGCCCGGTTTGGGATTTTAGAAAACTTGCCCGTTCGGAGGTCGGCGGTCCATTTCCAGCAAAACTGGGTCTGTTATTTTCGGACAGAATGCGCTCCCTCGCGCGCACACACAGGAGCGCAAGACGGAAAGAGCGCGCGCAGACTCCCGGGGTTGGCTCGACCTCCGTGGGCGCGTGGGAGCGAACGACCGCGGATTTGCACCTGATGCGCTCCGGTGTGTTGCGGCCCGTGGAGGGAAGGCGGCATCAGCGGAGGCGCTGCCGAAAGCGCTCCGGTAAACACGTAAACGTCAGACGCGTCACCAGGTGTTGGGATTTAAAAGGAGTAAATCACACACCGGAGTAGAGGCGGAAATCGTTTTGGGGGAGTTTGGTAACTTGTTGGAGCGTTAAATGACCACCGGCGCACGTGCGCCGCGCGGGTTAACCGATAGTCATCCGTTATCGGCGTTTTGGTGGAAACAAGCCTACCTGTTGAGAGCGGGACGCGTGTGTGAGCAGCTTGACAAATTGAACCGTCACCTCTCAGTATGCAGACGCTATTACAGCGACGTGACCGCTCGCAACGAGCCCTCAGACTAATCACCTGCAATGGAAACTGTTGCTCTGCGCCTATCGACCTGCTGTCTGCCTTTGATTCTTAATTAAAATACATAAACACGGATTCTGCATCAAATGAGGCTTCTGGAGAGATCACTTGGGGAAAACATATTTCACTGAATGCGATTAAATATTTCATGTTTTGCCGAGAAAATATTCCTTTTGATTGGGCTTAGATAAAAGTTTCCATTGGAGTGTAATTAACCTTTACAGGAGCAGAGGCGGTCCAAGGAGTCACGGAGGCCCTGATCAGAATTGGTAAATAGAGGCTTGACCAATTAAGATCAGTCAGCCCATCTAAGTTTGATCCTTTATCTGACACAACTATTGAAAAGTAATATTGGTCACATAGTATATTAGTATTTTTGTTTCTAAGAATGAATAAAATATAATGAGGAATAAAAGTCTAGTATTTCACAGTCCATGTATATTTTCAGTTTTTTCTTGATTCTGATGTTTAGGGAATTTTATTGGGTAGAAATGTTAAGTATAAAAACAGCTACTATGCTTAGACATTGGAGTTTGGAGACTGGGCATTGGACTATTCAACAATAAATTAAAAGCGAATGCTTCGGGCTGCTTCTGTTTGTAAATCAGGCGGAATTGATTCTCTGTCTTTCCTCCTCCACCAAAACCACAGAGCTACACCCGGCTGAAGGTGAGAGAAGAAGGCAGGACAGCCACACCTCATGCGTGGGTTCAGCAAAGGCCCGAGTGGACACTGCTCTGACAAACATGGGTGTTCTCCAGCTCAACAACCCCACTCACTCAGGCACGCTCCTGCAGCGGGCCAATCAGATGCGCCTGACCGGCACCTTGTGTGACGTAATCATCACTGTGGACGGCCAGGAGTTTCCGGCGCACCGCACCGTCCTGGCTTGCACCAGTAAGATGTTTGAGATCCTTTTCCACCGGAGCAGCCTGCGCTATGCCCTAGACTTCCTCTCTCCTAAGACCTTTCAGCAGATCCTCGAGTACGCCTATACCGCCTCCCTCCAGGCCACCGCCGAGGACCTGGACGATCTACTATACGCCGCAGAGATCTTGGAGATAGAGTACCTGGAAGAGCAGTGCCTGAAGGTGCTCGAGACCATCCAAGCGGAGGAAACCGAAGAGGTGGCATTGAGGAATCACAGCTCTGGAGATCATGGCGATCACGGTCGGGCCAGGCACTGGAGGCATATGTTGATGACCAAGAAGCATTCCTTACAGGATGGAGCAAAGTGCGGCACTCCCACTGCCCTCCACCACTTGGCTCTGTACCACATGGCGGAGAGAACGTCGCCGGGTCCAGAGTGTGATGCAGCTCCTCAACGGAGTCCCAAACCAGACGCTGAGGTCAACATGGAAAGCTCCCAGCAGGTTCGCGACAACTCGCCCCTGGATCCTGCCAGAAGTATCAAATCAGAGTGTATGCAGGTGGATGACAACGAAACCTGTGAGGGCAAGTCATCCAGCACAGGGGAGGCGACCAGCACGTCTGAGCAGCCGAGAGACGAGGGCCCGGGGACGCCTCTCAGAGGCAGCGTGATCACCAGCGCCCGAGAGCTCAACACGGGCTCCGAAGACGGGGCACAAGCAGCGACAAACGCTCTTGACGGTTTCCCCGGGATCGCGGACAAACACCTTGCCTCCATTTACTCCGTGGCCTCCAACCACACGGGAGAGGGGCTGCCGGTGTCCGTTTCAGTGGCGCCGTCTCTGGGCGTCCCGCTGGATCCAAGGGCCTACGGCGGCCTGCTGCACCACGGCTTACTGCACAGAGAGCTGCTGAGCAGACTGGGCCAGTTTGCAGCAGGAATGAGACACGAGGGCCAAAGTCAAGGCCAGCAGTGCTGTGGTGAATGTGGCCTCCAGCTGCATAGCAGACAGGCTGTGGAGCAGCACAGGTAAGCGCACAAACATCCACCTTTCACATCCGACTGATGCCCAAAAAGCCCAGACAAGTTAAACAATCATTTGTTTAACTTGTTTTAAACAATTCAAATATAAATCATCATCCAGAAAGTTGAGGGCGATTTAGAGATATGACAGTCATTGTGTTTATGGACTTTATAAAAGAAAAAAAAATGAGACGAGAAAAACTTGGTTCTAATCACAGGTCACCTTTTTCTCTCTGATGTTTAAATACTATGATCCAGAAGCTGGAAGAAGCAACAGTAAATATGGTAATTTATTCAGAGGGACACCTGCGCTCATGTTTTGACAGTGAATCTTTTGAATCGGGTCTTTGTGAGGGAAAGGGGGGGATTGATGTGAAGAAGCCTCCGTGTCACATAACGGAGTTATTTACAAAGCCCCGTTTTTTTAAATTCCCTTTGATTATTGGTGCAGACGTGTGCCTCGCACAACAGACCGTCTCCCAGGCTATTTGATATGCATTCCTTCACATCAACGGAGAGAAGCCTCTCAGCGGGGACCAGGCTGGACGCCTCGGCAGCATGATGGATAACTTCTGTTTCGCGACTCGCTCTCTTGTTGTCGTTTTTTTCTTTTTGTTATTATTTTTGCTTTATTTATGAGCCTGTCAGCTCGTGTTTTGTCACTCCACGTAAAAACCCCACCAACTATTTCCATGAAAAACTCATTAGCTTGATTGCAGATGCTTCTAATTGTGCGAGATGGGCAGTGTTTGAGTCATCATTAATCATTAGCAACACGACGAGCCCTTAATATGCTGCTAACATACGATTAGGATCACAGCCTTCCCCTGCTCATCCCTGCGGCTGACATCTCAGCTGCGTGCCACTCCAAAAAGCGCCACCAAAACAGGGGGGGAACGGGGGCGAAGGAAAGCATCCTGTGGGATATTTAGCCACGAGCGTTCCTTACTCATGGAGACAGACTGATGTCCGCAGGTTTGAAGGGGCTGCGTTGGTGGCGCTGCTGGAGGATGTAATGAAGTTGCTGTAAGTCTGTAACCAGGTCACTGAGCATTCACCTGATCTGCAGACTGACATTTGCTGCTGTCGTCTTCGAATCTCCTGGCACAGTTTTAGACTGAGGAGCTAAATCAATTCAAATGGTCTGGTTGGAAGTAAAGACATGTAAACAAACTCCTAAATATGTCACCAAAACAAACAAACCCCAGAAATATGTGCTACAGGGCCGGACTTAAAAGGATTTGAGCCCCTGGGCTGGAGTCAGTTTTGATGCCCTGTCAACTGCAGAAGAAATATTTTACGAATGATAATTTAAGTACGTTAAATACTCATATATATATATATAAGCCAGCTCAATGGCAAGAACAAAATCCGTGCGATAAACAGCTTTGCCTTGCCAGTAATCAGATACCCTGCTGGAATTATTAGCTGGCCAAAGGAGGAGATAAAAGCCACAGATATTAAGACTAGAAAGCTACTAACAATGCATGGAGGGTTCCATCCCAAATCCAGCACCCTGAGACTGTACACGAGCTGCAAGGAAGGAGGCAGAGGACTAGTGAGTGTGAGAACCACTGTCCAGGACGAAACAACTAAGATCCATAAATACATCAGGGACAAAGCCTCAACAGACGATGTGCTCAGCGAATGTCTCAGACAACAGGGAACGGAGGTTGAGGTGCCAGAGATACCATCATGGGAGGACAAGCCCCTACATGGGATGTACCACCAGCAAATAACCCAAGTGGCTGATATCAGTAAATCCTACCAATGGCTGGAAAAAGCTGGCAAAGTGATCAAAGTGGGAAACACCCCCAAAGGTGGTGGAGAACGCCAGAGCTAAGATCCTGTGGGACTTCCAGATCCAGACAGACAAAATGGTAATGGCGAACCAACCAGACATTGTCGTAGTGGATAAACATCAGAGAAAGCCGTTGTGGTAGATGTAGCAATACCAAGTGATTGCAACATCAGAAAAAAGGAGCACGAGAAACTGGAGAAATACCAGGGCCTCAGGGAGGAACTGGAGAGGGCCTGGAAGGTGAAGACCACAGTGGTGCCTGTGGTCATCGGGGCCCTCGGGGCAGTAACCCCCAAACTGGAGCAGTGGCTACAACAGATCCCAGGAACAACATCAGACATCTCAGTCCAGAAATGTGCAGTCCTTGGCACAGCCAAGATACTGCAGGACCCTCAAGCTCCCAGGCCTCTGGTAGAGGACCCGAGCTCAGAGGATAAAATAAAAAAAATCTTTGTGGCACCCTAAATATTGGGGCCCTGGCCCCTTTCTAAAATTCGAAAAAAAGTTTTGCAAAATACCTTCAATTTTAAATGGTTGAAACATGAGTGAATTGTTTAGAAACTTAGAAATGGTTCATTATATTGTGGTTATAAAAGTATAACAGGGTAAATTAATTACAACATAAAATACCCTGACTAATTCATCTCAGTGATGCGACAAGATGTGAAAACATGAACTGAATTTGAATCATCTCATAAAAACCTTTCAGATGCTTTGTGACTCGAAAAAGTTCAGAGAGAAATGACCAAGCCAGCGAGGTCTGAGAAAACCCTGCTCTGCGTTCACATGCCTCCTGATGATCCCAGGTAGATTAATGCCCCATTATAAAGTATTAAAGTTATAATTAAGTCATGAATGGTGGACAATTTTACAGCTCAGGCAGGACAAAGGTGAAGTTTTAGTAATCGACACATATTTTAAGTGACTCAAAACAAATTTGAAGCCAGTCAGGGAATCATTCAGACCAAATTATATACCTGAGCATCACGTTTGAGTCAAACCTCAATTCAATAAAGAACTCACAAACAACAGTGTAGCAAAGAATACATTTTGTCATCTGAAAAACATCGCTTGAGTTTGTTTCTTTCTTACGCCGATGCAAGGACAACAGACCATGCGTTTATATTTAAGGGGATCGATGATCTTTTCTCAGTTATATTTTCTCCACACAGCTGCTGCTGCAGAAACGAGAGCCAGACAGCAAACTTCACTCTATTTATAAAGCTTCACATTTGCCAACATTTTAAGAATGAGCTACGGTTGCTTTTATTAGTTTTTAAATAAAAGATAATTGTCAAACTGATTTAGTTTGCTTTTTATTTTACAAACCCTTTAATGAGAAGCCCGAAGGCCATCCGAGTACTGCTGTTTTTAAAAGCAAACTAAAAAGCGTATCTATTCACTACTTCAAATATTGTATTCTATTTAATTCTTTGATTCGACTTTTCTATGAACGTACATCATTACTATTTAAAACACAAGGAATAAATATTGAAATAAGTTAAACTCGAGAACTTCAGCTTTAAACACCGCTACATTTTATTTCCTCATTACCTCATCCTCTATAATTTAACTTATTTTGACAATTTCTAGTGTGTGTGTGTGTGTGTGTTTGCGTTTCTTCTAAGTTTGTCCCTCTATTAATAGACCTCCACATGTTACACGTTAGAATATAAAAGTGCTCTGTAAGTAATGTCAGACGCACTCTCCACAGCCAAAATAAAACCTAATCTTTACGGCGGAGTTTCTGTTTTGCTCTCCTGATGTTGTTAATGTGCGTTAAGCAACATCTCAGGTTTCATTCATTTTGAGCGCTGCGCGTGTGCCTGAGCGCAGACTCTTTTTCAGGCCACGTGCTCAGCTGTAGGGGGGTGATATAAGGATAACGGCACAGATGCCTTGCTTGCTTGGGTTGTGTGTGATACGATATGATAGGTTTTGCTGCCGGCGGAGCTTCGGCGAATCATCTTTTCATTGCAAACACAGGAAAAGCTTGCGTGTATATTTATGTGCGCGCGTGTGTGAGAGGGCGAGCTTATTCAGCTGGGATGTGACTGTGTGCGTGGCTGCTGTCCTGAAGTGCTGGCGGGTGGAGGCACGCGTTTGTCTGCACTCTGAAATTAGCCAGATATCCTATTGTCTGTGTGCTTTTAACTTTCATGCGTTGATTCACAACTCCAAGGGCCTCTCAGACTAATGATGCTGCATATAGCCTTGGATTCTTGCAGGAATTAAAACACTGATGCTTCCAAGTCCAGAGGCCTTAAAGAAAAGGTGCAGAATAAACGTGGTCCAGATTCTCAGTGTAATAACCTCAACTAAAGGCAATACTATTGATTAATGCACTGCAATTGAAAAACGTTATTTGAATCCGACTGTTGCAAAAATAAAGTTTTATTTTTAAAAAAAAAGTAGTTTTCGGCCATTCTACTTAACATTTACCTGTGTAACTGATTTTAGCGAGTCAGTAAGTAATTGCAGTTTTGAGTGATGCTAAGTTTTCCTCCAGTTTCCACATCATTTATGATATTTCATATCATAAAAACACAAATAAAATTATTTGCTTATTTTGTAAGTGAGCAAATGACTATAGAGCCCTCTAGCTGGCTGTGACAAGCAAAAGGTGGGGGAGGGGCAGTAGAGAATTGCTCGTTTTCTATTTAACCCGAGAAAATTCCAGTCAATCCAGCACTTTCTCTGGCTTCTCATTAAAAAGGACTTTAAATGGTAGGAAAAGTGTGATGAAAACGTCTCTGTTTCCTCTGACGCCAGTAACTGGCCGTCCCAACTTTACCGTAAGGAAAAGGTTAGATCGCTCATTTGGTGTGATCACAGTCTGCCTTTTTATAAACCTCAACTGTTCCATTAGGTTTAGAGTCACCTGGAAAAGCGGAATCGCATGCAAAATCCTCAAAACAAAAATACACAATTAAATGAAACCTGACATTTGAACTTATGATTATTAGTCACCATAATTCAGCGAAAAAGAAAAAAAGTTAGCACACTTTTCAAAGTAATGCTGAAAGTTTATGAAAAAAAAACAAGCTGGTTAATTGTTCAGGCTATTTACTTGGGTAACTAGCCTGCAGTTGGCAGCTTTACAGACATGCAAGCTAGCTTGCCCGCTGTAGTTTAAAATACCATTTCCTCGGCTCCGTTTTCCTTTCTACACTGTGATTGCTAATGTTCACAGTGCATTTTATTTATTTTTACGAAGCATTTTCCTTTTTACCCCTCCTTTTTATGTCTTTAACCCAATCCCACCTCCTGAGAGGGCAGAGAATCATGCAGAGTAACAACCGATCTACTGAAATCTGAACGCTTGAAGACGGAAATGCATTAAGAAAGTTTGTGTAGAACTAAACAAATGTAAAAAACAAAACACAAGGGGAAAACACTTTGTCAGTCTTACAAATAAAACTAAGTTTAGTGCAAGTACAGGGGAAAATATGTGTTGACAGATTTTTTTTTCCACTTTTTTAGGTTATATTTATGTTTTATTTTGCTGTGCAGTGACATACATTTTTTTTCTCTTTTTGTCATTTGAAACAACTTTAGATTAAATATCGCTGACATTTTCCAACTTTCTGCTGGACTAAAATATTTATGACTGGATTTCATCTCAAATTCCTCAAATTTGTCCTTGTCAAATGAAAATGTCAGTAACTTTCACCATCCTGGACAAGTTTGTTTGTTTTCATGTCACTTTCACCTGTAAAAAGCAGCATCGTTGTTCATCAACAAGTAACCGTGTAAACCAGGTTATGCCGCCATGAGGCTAACAGTCGCTGTCCTGCTGCGGGGAAAGGAGTCAGGCAAACCGCAGTCGGCCGCTTTCTTTTCCTGCTGATCAATGAGCGCCGTCCGTCCGCGTGAAATAAATGAAAAATTTGTACAAGTGTGTTCTCGCTGCATTCTTCTCCTCCATTAGCGCTCTCACACCGGTGTGTCGTTCTTTTCACAGGAGGCTTCATAATGAGGAGAAGGGCAACAGCTGTGAATACTGTGGCAAACACTTCCAGGACAACATGCGGCTCAGGATGCACATGCTGTCTCACGCAGGTATTTAGTAACTCTCACGCACTCTCAGCCTCTGCACACCGGCGCTCTCCATACAGTGGTCGCGGCCTTTCAGATGCACCTGTTCACCCCCTCCTCCACCCAAACCCCCACCGTTCCTCCCGCAGCAGTCAGCGCCGCTGCCGACGCTTGGATCACGCTCTCTTTTCCACGCCGAGGTCGTCGGCCCTCTCCTCTCCGTTTGAGTCGTTCCTGTTTTCCTTTTCCTTTTTTTTTTTATGAGAGAGAGGATGGCGGCTCGCCAGCTCTGCCCCTTCTGAGTGATGACATCATGAGCTGCCGGCAGGCCTGGGTGTTCTGCCAGCGTTTTCCGAAGCGTGTGTGATGGCTCGCTCGCAGATGTGTGTCCAGGAACACACTGTACCCAAATGCAGACTTAATCAGACCTGACTGCTCTCCCAGCTACTTTATCCAAAATAGAGAAAGAGGATGGGGAGGGAGAAGTTGAGGGGGGTGCAGAGAGACAGAGGAGGGATCAGACTAAAAATGAAACTAAAAAAAAAAAAAACATACACACACACAGTCACAAAGCTCAGTTTGAATATATGTTAGAGACAAGGCAGAGTCCCCTGTCCTCTCTGCCTGCTCTCTGAGGATTGTTCAGGAATGGCACGCTGCTGACAGATGAGAGAGAATCTGCTCCTTTAAACTTCACCTGAGTCTTCCTGGGGTTTTTTTCCCCCCTCCCCGTTCTGGTTCAGCCCTGAACACACACATTGTTTTGCATCACTCTCAGACCTTCACAGCATGCTTTGATTTTCAATTCGCACCGACATCCATAACAGCAGCACCTTTAACCGCATTTGAATTTTTTGCATAAACTCTCCCCATCCGACGTGTCAACCCCGTAATACTAGAAGGAGGGAAGAGATGGGGAGTTGGGGATGCAGGGGGGTGAAAAAGAGAGAGATAGATGTGGATCTCATTTCTTTGTCACTGTGTATTTCAGTATAGCAGCCTCAGATCCTGCTGGTTGCTAAGGAGCGAGTGCTCCGCCGCTCTAATGGGCTGATTTGGTATTCAGCTCGATGCTGGCTCTTATTTTGGTATGCCAGACAAAGTGTTTTGATGGAGGACGATTGCAGCCGCGTCTGGAGACAGTTTGATGGTTTATGGATGAGAGCACACTCCGTGCCTTTGACTGCACAAGACAATGCACTGTGTTCTCCTCTTCCCCCTTATCACACAATCTCAGGCGGGCACGACACACCGGGCTGGACGGCGTCAAACAACATCAGGATCTACAACACTTAACTCCACTGTTACTGCCGCACAAGACCGTTCTCAGAGTTTTTTTTATATATTTATACATATATATTTTATATGTTCTGCAAGACAAAACGAAGCAGAACGAGGATTTTGAGAAATGAACAGATTGAGGCTTTTTTCTTGTTGTTATTTGCGTGTAGCTCTGGGAACAGTGGTGCACTGTCTGTGCGAAGAGTTGAAAGAGGACCACATTTAGGCTGTAGTGCTCAGAGTTCCCAAAGCTTGTGGGTGTTTTAATGAGTCATTTTAACTTCATTTAAAGCCAGCTGAGCAGAAAATAGATCAGTGAATGAGCCCTGGGCCAGTATGGATCTGCAACCGATTTACATCTCAGTGAGAGCCAACCCACATCCAAACAGCTGCGTGCAACAGAGACACACAGAGAGAGACAGAGAAATTGAGAGTGTGTGTGTGTGTGTGTGAGCACACATATTAGTCCAATGTGTCTGTCAGTGCAGGTGTGAGGTGAGTGCAGAACAAGGGATGTTTCTGTAAGCTGTATGCACACTTGTCTCTTTCATGTCTCTATCAGAATAGACAAGGGCATTGCAAAGGTGACTTGAAGTTACAGTCCATGCGCTGGGATTTGGGATGTTGACTCTGAAGTGGGATTTTTTATATTTTTTTGGTGATAAAGGGATGCGCCGCAGGCGGGAAGTGTCTGCTGTACAGAGAACACCCGGTCCTTCTGTGGCCTCTCAGGCAGACAGTCTGCTCGCTGTTCAGAGTCTGATAACAGGCCATGGTAAATAAAACTCTTCAGCGTTGCTCTCCTTTTTTTGTCAGGAAGAAGAAAAAGATGTGCCGTTGCACACCGTCTGCTGCCCCCTCCGGCCCCCCTCCTCTGTCTGTCCTGTACTCCATTGTATTTTTTTTCACATTTGCTTCCTTTGTTAAACAACAGAAAAGCACAAGTGTGTACACGAGGGTCTGTGGTGGCTTCTTTACCTTTCTTTCAACTGTGTTCACTTAAACCAGGCTTCCTCTGCAGCCCGAAAGTTACAGAGCCTTGCAAAAGTTGTTTTCCTTACACTTTGTCATGTTACAGCCACTAAGTCTGGCCTTTGTGGATGAAGAAAGTCTCTGTTCTTACTGAAAACCATAGTTGAAAGAAGTATCATAAGAAGTCAAATTTACAGTTTACCACAAGCCAGGTAGGGCAGACGGGAAATATTACAAAGGTATTTTGGTCACATAAAACCAAAACTAAATTTTTGGTGTGCATGTATAAAACTTGTATGTGTTGGAAAGTTTTAGTTGCATATTACCCTGAAGACAGTGTCCTCAAAGGGTAACACGCTCTTTTTTTTTCCTTTTTTGTTTTTAAGCGCTTTTTATGTCATGGAGGCCCAACAGAGTTTATGGAAAAAATGGATGGAGGAAAATACAGGAACATTTTGGAGGATTTAAAGACATATCTCACCATCTAATTTAATATTTGGCAATATCCACAGACAACCTGCATCCAATCTGGTTGTCAACTTGTGTAGATATTCAGTAACAGGTGATTCTGCAAATTAGTGACAGTGTCACGAATATAACGCCTAAATGTTTGAAACTGTTTTGTAAAACAAGGAATAATTTTCCTTTTAACTATAGAATTGTGCAAACTGAAATTACAAAAAATAAATTAGCTTAATGGAAACAAACGGTAATTTCAGAAAGCCACGAAGAAGACAGGACAAGAAGACAACATGTCTCCCCTGACGGCTGATGGAGTGCAATTAATAACAAGCTGATTCACGCATGAGTTTAAAGTTATTCCTAATTTGATGGCAACTGAAAAAAAAAGTCTTTTTTTACATTAGCAGAAAAATATTTCAACATTTTTAATGGCCACCGAATTCCCCAACAATACAGAATATTTGCTTCTGCAAGGCATTGTGTGAAATTAACTTTTTACTTTTTCTTCCCCATTTTTGAGAAATGTCAGCACTGTCAGAAGGAAACCTTGTATTCTTAAAAATGGGACTTTCATGAAATGCCATTTTAGCTTTTAAAAGTAAGCTCTCACTTTTTGGTCAATGTCCTGACAACTTTACAATATTTTTCACATTGCATTTATCAGTGAAACCACAGAAGGCAGAAGGTTGATCAATGGAGTCTCTCAAGAAATCAAGCATAAAAATTGAGATATGTCTGTTATTGACCAAGGGGGGAAAAACAAAACAATATTCCAAAAGTATTTTTGTTTCGGCACCAATTTCTGTGTTCCAGATTTTATTTTTTAAAAAATGTAGGTTAAAAAAAAGTTGAGGAATTTTCATGTTTTACAAAATGAGAAAAGATAGAATATATGTGTTAAGGAGAAAGGTATTAAGTTTGTTTGTTTTTTTAACGAAACTTGGACTACCCAGCAGTGTTTTAGCCGTAGTCAAAATTCAGGAGTCTTCGTCTAATCTGGGACTTCATTGAAGCCCGGGTCAGATTTAGGCCACAGTCTGCTAGTTGGGAACTTTTATAACAAAAACAAACAAAACAAAAAAAAACATTTTTACCAAAATTCCTACAAATGTATTCATCTTTTAATGTTTGTCAAAAGATCCAAACAGACAGAAATTATCGCAAAAATACCAGAAATGATTTTATCAAGAGAAGCCCAAATCTGAGAAACTGAATCCTGACAAGTCTGCATGTAAACATTTAACAAAGACTCGTATGTTTGCTGATTTCTGTTGGGTTTGATGTCACCCACAGCTCCTGCTGAAGCGTTGGTGTGCGATCAGTGCGGAGCAACGTTCTCCTCAGAGGACGCTCTGGAGGCCCACAGGCAAACACACACAG